CATTAATAAAGTACCGTAAATTTAGAAAGACTTTTTATTCCCGGAGTAAATTACAAAAGTACCTTAAATTACACTTGTCAATGCCTTTAAACCACCTCTCCCAACTACCAATGAATTACGCCATCTAATTTGAAATCAACAATAACCCTAATAATATCTCGACAAGCAAAAATTACCTTAACTTACACTTGTCAATCCCTTTAAACCCCTCTCCCACGCAGCTACCCACTTAGAATTAATCTCTAATCTACCGTAAGCCTAATAATACCACAAAAGTACCTTTAGCGGCGATGGTTCCGATCCTGGTCCGTGCTGACTCGAAACGGCACTTCGTGGACGGTGCTGGACCCATCGTCGGTTGCCGAACAAACCCGCGACAACTGAAAAGAATGGGTATAATGATGAAAGACCCGGAAACAATTTAAAATCACACTTGTCAACCCCTTTAAACCCCCTCCCCCCATCTACCAGTGACCCCGCTTGGAAGACAAAGATGCGCCATCCATTACGCCAAGGTGGCAAGCCATTGGCTAGTCCTCCCCTCCCCCCCCCCCCCCACTACTAACTAACCAATTACGTCATCTAAATCAAAATCTACCGTAACCCTAGGTCACCATTATATTATGCACATCGACACTTGACCATCCCTTTAAAGCGACACTCTACCTTTCCGGGGCTCAAAAAGCAAAAACCTTTCCACGGGCGGGAGTCGAACCCGCGACCCCCGCTTGGAAGACAAAGATGCTATCCATTACGCCAAGGTGGCAAGCCGTAACCCTAATCAGGCTCCAAACGCAAAAAGTACCTTAAACGACGATGGTTCCGATGTGGCTGACGTTGGCTGGCGGCGCGTTCGGAATGCATCCGCGGTCGCGAGTCATCGCATCCAGCAACAGCTGAAAAAAAAATTAAAAATCGATCAATAAAAAAAATTTAAAAAGATAAAAATAGCCCAGAACAGATAGGTACGAGCAGAACGAAGAAACAAGCAGAAAAAAACGAGCAAAACGAGAAAAAACGCGTAAAATGAATGAAAATGAGCTGAAAATGGGCTCGGGCCAGACTCGTTCCACGCCATTGCAAATGACGCCGGGGCGCTGGATAGAATGCAGGGTTACGGTATTCACGCTAGAGGTCCAATTCCTGATGTTATGGCCAAACTGTTAGACAGCTGTGGCATCTCGCGCGTGCAGTAACCGTGAAGATCTTCCGAACGTCATCTAGGACGGGATCTCCAGCTACTCCATGTGTAACTGGATGGAGGGTACCTGAATGGAGGGTACCAGAACTGTGGGAATTACCTGATCCTAATCGATGAATTGAATGTCAGAACAGCTAATCCACAACTCAGAAATTTTTTAAAGGAACGTTGAAGGCAACAAAATTTACCCAAACTCCAACCCAGGTGGGCTGATATAGGTGTAAGCATGGAAATTGAGAATAGTGGATGCTCTGGGGCACTTTGTTTTTAGTTTTTGGGCCGTTTCGCGCGCCGATGATTTCACCTATATGTCTTCCGTGGGTTTTTAAAGGACCGTTGAAGGCAAGGCGTTGCCATCGCCTTTCCCGTACCTTTAAAGGGGTTAAAACCCGAAAATCGACCACTCCCATCGGCTAGGTCTGGACGGCTACGCAGCACTACCAATGACGCTTAGCGTTGTCACTCGGAGCATCGCGTACGCTCTTTTTATCGTATCCTTATTTAGTACGAAGTTAGGCACGAGGTCGAGTGGGATTTCAAGACGTCGGCCGCCGAGAAGATGATCCCCGACCCAGGGCAGCACAAATTCGCCTGTGCTCTACTCGATCGCATGTGTCTTGATGTAATTTTCCGGCTTTCCGTAATTTTATAACTGTTGACATGATCTTTAGTAATTGAATTGTATATGTAATTTGAATAATAAGGTTCACTCTGCATACGTCCTAAGAATTTCGATGAGAAAAAGTGAAAAACTTCACTCTTTCACTCATATATAGACTCCCGCCATTTCCGGTGAATGCTAATTATTTCTTAACAAAGCGGGTCTCCGATTTTTCAACAAAAACTTGGTTTTAATTTCGAAAATAGCATATTTTGCGCAATCTGATAAGCGTGCAGTCATCTTGAGGCAGTTACGCACCTAATGACGTATCAAATGTAGCTTATGGCCCTTCCCCGCTTGAGATATCCCCCGGACAACCTGACGGAAGTTGCATGCAAATGCACACACACACACACACACACACACACACACACACACACACACACACACACACACACACACACACACACACACACACACACACACACACACACACACACACACACACACACACACACACACACACACACACACACACACACACACACACACACACACACACACACACACACACACACACACACACACACACACACACACACACACACACACACACACACACACACACACACACACACACACACACACACACACACACACACACACACACACACACACACACACACACACACACACACACACACACACACACACACACACACACACACACACACACACACACACACACACACACACACACACACACACACACACACACACACACACACACACAGGGATTTTTTATATATCCTATCCTATAAGCAAGAAAAGTATGTTTGTTTTCTGTACAGCCGATTTCTCGGCCGTCAGGCCGAATTTCCGGCTGATTTTTGGCATGGAGGTGGAGAAACACATTTGTCAGACACGCATTTTTTTGTTTTTCGAAATTCCTCCATTTAACGGTTTTACAAGCAAAATAGTGAAAAATCCTTAACATCTTGGCCGAAAAAAGGTTTGTTCAGAGGATATCTCCCGAGCCAAATGGAATTAGGCGCTAATTTTTGGAGGGCAGATTGAAAATTACATTCTCCTGTGATATAATTCTGCGTTTTGGCATATTTTGTAATCTAAAATTTTTATGAGCATTTTTCCAAAAAGTCCTTAACAAAATGGACCAAGAGCCGTGGTGTCCGGGGCATAACTCGAAGCCCAGATGGAATTTCGGCCTGGAATTTGGAAAACTTATGTATTCGATGGTGGGGATCATGCGCATCTTATTATCTTTACAAATTTTCAGCTGATTCAGACTCGAAAACCGAATTTTGTAAAGTGACCAGTAGGCCTCCCTCCGGGATCATGGGTCGCCATTCTCTTTGCCCTCCCCCCGCCAGGGGAGAAGAGGCCTTTCCCGCTGCCTGTTCCCATCGTCACGGTGGTGCAGTGCATTTGCGTCTATCTGCCCGGCGCGTAGTAGTGAGTTCGGATCCTTCCCGGATCTAACTTTTTGCTTTTTGGTAGTTCAGCAACAAAACATATTTCTAGGCTCTCGGTGTGCGGGGGTTAGGCCTGGCCCTCGCTCTAGCGCCGCAGGCCAAAAAGGTCCTTGGCCCAAGGCTCTCGCGCCGCAGGCCAAGGATGGGTCCAGGACCCGGGCTTTTGCGCCGCAGGCCAAAGCCTGGAGAAAAACCAGTAACTAGCGCCGCAGGCTTACAAATTCTAGCGCAACGCTGGCTCTGGCGCCGCAGGCCCAATATGGAGAGTAAAGTCAGTAGCTAGCGCCGCAGGCTCAAAGTTTCGAACGTAGCCCGCGCTCTAGCGCCTCAGGCCGAGGAATGGCTCCGGGGATTCCGGCACTTGCGCCGCAGGCTTGAAGAAAGGAAGGGGTTAGAATTCGTGGTTCTTAGACGGGGGTCCAGTGGAAAATGGCCGCGAAGCGGGCTTATTCCACTGGTAGTAGGATATACTGCATTTTGGAGAATGAATGAGGGAATTAATGGAAATGCTGAATTAATGACGAGCAAAAAGAACCACGATTTTTATGGCGTTATCGAATAATTCGCCGGCATAATTGTTTCGCCTCTTATTTTCCAGTTCCTAACGTGCCAGCCCTCGTGCCCTTCCGGTTTCATCGAGCCATCCCCACTGCATCCGAATTATGGACAACCCGTCAAATATGAGAATGGACCCGGGATACGCAGAAATCCCTGTATGCAGGTTGGCAGCTTTTAGGGGTTTCGATCAATTAAAGGGACCGAGAGGCCTGAAAAAAATCCCGAAAATCGACCTCTCTCGGCGACGGGTCTAGACAAGTACGCGACGCTCCACACGACGCTGAAATACGTCTTTTAGTGCGTCGCGTAGTCGTCAGAACCTAGTCTACCGGCGAGCTCGATTTTGGCACTACCCGGTCCCCTTAAAGGGGTCGGAACGCGTAAACGACAATAGCGCAAATTGACCTCTCTCGTCGACTAGGTCTAGACAACTGCCAGCTACAGACTTACGCATTTTCTCGCTTCCAAGTCCCTTTAAAAGGACTGGGAACCTCGGAATCGACCCCTCCAGTTGGCTAGGTCTAGACAAATCGTGTAAACCTAACGTAACTTTGGAGGACTAGGAGATGGAAAGCCTTCCAAGCAAGATTTTTTGCCTTCCAAGCCCCTTTAACCCCTCAAAAATCGCTGTTTTCAGAAGCAAGCAACGTGTGGCTCGGTCCCGAACGATCTCTACTGGACAATGGCCAAGCTGGACGATCCCGATCAATACTAAACCCGGACGCACCATGCAGAAAAATTAGATAATTCACACTGTATTCCCTTGCCGTTTCTGATAAATATTCGATTTTATTATATCGGTTTTTGTGGTACTGGTGAGTTAGCGCGGGGAGTTAATCGGGGTTCTTTATCGGGGATGGCTTCTCCTCCTCTCCCCCCGCTAACGCACCAACACCTGTATTCCATTTTAACGTCATTTTTCGAAAATTTGTGCAAAATTTGCATAAATATTTTATTCAATTAAAATAATCGTTAAAATTCGAATTTTATGAGCAATAATTGGACTGGGATGGGCAGCACCACTTTTTCGAAGCTACAAGAAAAATGAAAGATTCGGAAAATAAATATTTCGAGAATGTACAGGATACGTTGGGATACGGTAGCTAGGGGAAAAAAAATCGATAATTCGCATTTTTAAGAATATTTAATATTGATATTGCTTTGGCTGTTGCGGGGGGCTGATCGTTCGGTGGAAAGATTCGGTCGTCGTCGTTACCTAAAAAAATTGGTAGATTTTTGGACTCCGCAAAGTGTATTGATGACGCTAGTTTGCCATATTTTTAGCAATCTTTTGAGTTTTTGTCCTAAATTTTCTCTGCTAGCTTGCCCTAGTTGATTTCCGCATGGAAGTCCAGCTAGCTCTATCCGTTTTTACCAGATTTTTCGATTTTTCTCGCTAAATTTTTTCCGCTAGCTTGCCATCGATTTTAAACATCATATAAAGAATCAAAGAATCTCTGCTAGTTTGCACACGTTTCTTCGATTGTTTAAGCAGTTTTTCGACCTTTTCTAAAACATGGCTCCCTAAATTCTCTCTGCTAGCTTGCCCCAGTTTATTTCCGCAAAAATCCCCTGCTAATTTGCCTATTCTTCGATTTTTGAAGCAATTTTTAAATAGCCTTCCCGCGATTTTCTGTGCTAACCTGCCCGGGGTCATTTTCCGCAAAGCCCCTCTGCTAGATTGCCTCATTTTTCATTAAATTGTTTCGATTTTTGTCAAAATTTTCTTTGCTAACTCGCCCTTGATTTTAAAGGGGTTTTCTCTATTTTTCGTTTTTCCCAAAATCCCCGCTGGCTTGCCCTTGTACCCTACCTCATAGGTTCGATCAGCGTTCCTTCGGTGTCTTGGCTGCGTGCCAGGTTGGGGAACGTCCTCTTCATACACCCTGAAATGGCGCGATTTTCATTGCGTAATCGATTCGACGCGTCGAATTACATGCCGTAATTGGCTAGCCAAAAAAACTGTCCGCAACGATACGTTCGGTTTTAATAGCGTAATCGATTGAAGGCATGTTAATACATCAAATTAATACAAGAACCAGCTAATTTCGATCGTATTTTAATGGTGTAATGTATTAATTTTATGGCATAATACGCCGTAATTACGTTGCGTAACGTACACATAATCCTCTTTGACTGAAGGGGCTTGGACACGTGGCAGGCGGAACCATTGGAAGAAGGGAGGGGCACGCTCTTCTACCTGCAAAACAGCAAAAATTGGTGTAAATTGACATGGAATCTTGTAGTTTGTAGTCTGTAGTTTTCAACCGAAAACATACTTCCTGAATCAGTGGCGCCTTTTCAACGGCAATATGGTAGACCTCTTGGAAGCACAACACGCAGTGGCACTGAAAATTTGCGGATTTTAGATTTTTTAGATTCCGCAAAGTTTGTCTGCTAGTTCGCCTTGTCTATGTGTATTTTTAGCCACTTTCCGCAATGAATCTCTGCTAGTTTCCTTCGCGTTCAAAATGGAGTAATCTGCTGGTGAAGGCTAACTGGCATAGATTCTTAGAGAAAATTCCTCAAAGGATCGCTGCTAGCTTGCCCATACTCTTTGATTTTGTTTCCGCACATTTTCTCTGCTAGTTTGCCCTCCATATAGCGATGTTTCAACGCATTTTCAAAAGCAACACCCGATAATTATGGTTTCTATTTTTTAGAGCATTTCGCAGAACCGTCTTTTATCCAAAAGGAAATCCCGTCCTCCTTCTTGGCCAGATTTTCCGCAAAGTTTCTCTGCTAGTTTGCCCAGTCTCCTATCCGTCGACTCACCAAGAAATAAGCGGCACAGAATCCAATCAACCATCCGACCCAAATATCTCTCCAATGATTCTTGTAGCCATTAATGCGTGAGAATGAATCGACCAAGCACAGGCCCAGGAATCCTGAAAGTAGTACGTAAAGATATGATCTGACACGGCAAATCCTAATCGGCTACGGTAGAATACAGTACGACACTTTAGAAAACGGTAAGCTACGGTATGCTACGCTAGGGTCCGGGATGCTGTACGGTACGTTCGGCTACGGTAGGATACGGTAGACTACGGGATGCTACGCTAGGATACGGTACGATGCCTTACGATGCGTTAGGGTACGGTAGGATGCGCTAAGCTACGGTAGGATACGGTAGCATAAGGTTAGGTATCGTAGAATACACCTTAATACGATAAGATACGCTATGATAGATGAGATGATAGAAACGAAAAACTACGATACGGAATGGTACGGAAAACTACGGTAGAATAAGATAAAAAGCCTACCAAATATGAGGAATGGGCGGAGAAGTGGGGCTCCGCGGAGGTTGATCATGTAGTAGATGTAGCACTAAATAATAACATTTAATTAGGATTAAATCGATTACGCAACGTATTTTATGCCTAATAACGCCTGACTACAATTATGCAAACAAATGGGTTTTCCATTTTTACTAACTTACCGAGGCGAAACAGGCGGAATAGCTTGAAAAAGCGGCGTGCAGGGAGGGGAACGACAGCCAGGCGTATCTAAGAAAATTATTTTATCGGAATTTTCCGCAAATTTCCTCAAGAATCCCTGCTAGCTTGCCCTTAAACGGCAAAAGTACCTCAAATCATCAGCATGTCGATAGTTGCATGCCAATTGAGGGGATGGCGATGGGGAATGCTCCAGGGGGGCTGTGCAAGCGCTGCAAAATTTGCATTCGATTACGGTAGCAAAATTATTTCCAAGTTTTTATTTTAGTTTTTATTATTCTATATTTAGTTTTTTATCGTAATTCACCTTAAAAAATTTTACGCCAAGTAATCGGCGCTGAATATTCGGAATCTAATTTCAGAAGCCTCAAAATTAAAATAAAATAAACAATTAACTTTGTGAAAACAAAAATTCCGATCATTTCGCGAACGATTACGGCGGGTTTTTGACCGGAAACCGATGGTTTCGAGCAATTTTAAGGTTTTTAAGCATTTCTTCGCTAAGATAAACGATTTTTCAAGAAGCTTGATACGAAATTGCGTATACTTACGTGACAGAGACATTACAGAGCGACAGAAAATACGGCCGCTGGTAGCCCGTCATCAATTTGATCGTGTCGACGAAGATCTGGACGATTAGGGCACCGAACATGAACACCGCTGAAAAGAGAGAGGGATAGAGGGAGAGAGAGAGATTGAGAGTGAGAGAGAGCGAGTGAGAGAATGAGAGAGAGAGAGAGACACCGAGAGATATTCTTTAATTTGCATACCGACAAATCGGAAAAGTCTCCTCGTGAATAGATGTATCTTGCATTCTCCACACGTCGCATAAACAGTCTTCCTCGGTTTTGTCGAGAACATCCAGAACGCGATTTCACCGAGCAGAAGCTGGAAATTAATGATTTTTAAAATTGAAATAGCGTAATCAATTACAGAAATTATTATGAAAATGTTTACAAACCAAGAAAATTTAAATGAAATTTAGGAAAAGGTTTCAATGTTTTTAGGGCAAATCATCTTAAATTAGTGCAAGTTAAACAATTTTAAAACCCTTGGAAAATTATTTTAACGATTTGTCAAGGCTTAAAAATTAAGAAAACAATTTTTGAGATTTTCCGCCGTCAAAATAATTTTTCCAATTGATTTAAGTCCCTAAAATCTGCGTAAAAACGTACGACAAGTGGTGGTAGTGTAAATCCAAGTACGTAGAGCAGATCGTACGAGACATACACCTAAAACAAATCGAGAAATTTGGAAAATTTGGTGTAAAATTACCTCAAAATCCTCAGGTCTAAAATTGGGTTTGTAGAGGTTGATGTCTCGACAGTAGAAGACACGATGATGGTACGGGAATACGGTCGTTAGGCTGAAAATTCGGTTATAGAATTTGTAGGTTGTATTTATTTACTGTATTTATTCGCTGCAAAAACGACATTACAGCCTTTAGTTTATACCATAAAAAAAACTTTAGACGCAACAAAATTGGAGTCTAGTTAGCTTTTGCTGATTAGTTTCGACAAAAGTGTAGTTTGTAGTCTGTCATTTCTAACATGATGTTCAACATTGTAGCCTGTAGTTTGTGGCGCAAAACTAGCCTAGTGGTTTTGTTTGTGGTTTGTAGTCGAGAGTTTTCAAGCCTAAAGACGATATTTTAGTCTGTAGCCTATATTGTAGGTTGTAGTATAGTGCAAAAATGCAGTTTGTAGTCTGTAGTTCCTAAGTTTGTAAGCATTTGTAGCCTACGATTGGCTGGTCTTCTTGTTCTTGTAGTCTGTAGCCAAAATATGAAACTTTAACGACCCTTTGACGTCCAAATTGCGAAAAATTTTATTTTTTACAAAAAGGCAGCTAGCAACGATCTTTTAGGAAATTGTTAAACTCCTTTAAAATGCTGTGACTTACCGTAGATAATACCAGAGTGCCCATAAACACGCCAGTCCGACGATATGGGCAATAAATGAGGGGACGATGAAGAAATTGAGGATCGGCCGAAGGGGTTGAGGGCCACCATATTGAGACGCCGAGAACACCTGGAAATATGTAATAAAATGTATATAAACATTATCAAAATTCCGTCTGTTATTCAGTTTATAAAAATATCTAGAAATCACCGCATTAAAGGGACAGGCAACGCAGGAATAACGGTTTTTACGAGCGCGACACGCAACGCTTCAACGCCGTGATAGGGTTATCAATTACGCAATGCAAAGGTGGACCGCGCGGCGACACGCAACGCGGGCCCCACGCCGGTGTTAACCGATCGATTCGATTACGCAATGTAATGGCAGGCACGAGCGTTGCGTGTCGCAAACGCGGCCAGTTCTTACGGAATCCATGACCAAAGAATCAATAAAGTGCCTTTCCCGTCCCTTTAAATGGCTTTTTATGAAATCTTTCTGACCTCGGAGTGTGCCCTCGAGGGAGCGGCCGACATTTGGACGGCCACGACTGCTCTTTTTCCCTGGAAAAACGGATTTTTGAGCGTTTAACAACCAAAGAAAACAATAGAAAATCACGAAAAGGAATAGAACTTTAAAGACAAAATTACGTTTTGGAATACGGTAGAAAATACGGCATTTTATCCCAAATCAGAAGTAATAGCAAAAATTACAAATTCCCGTTTGAAAAATCGATAAATAATGTCCCAAATACGATTTGACCAGGCGGGAAATGAGTCAGTTAGAAGCTGCAGGATTTCTTTTTTCGTTGAAACAATAGAAGAAGAGGGGGATCCGCCCGGAAAGTCAACAAATAGACCAGTGAAGGGCCAAGAGGGGCTGGGATAGCATAGTATAGCCCGCCGGGGGGATCTACTTAGAAGCTTAAAACCGACGAAAATTACGCCATTAAAGATCAAACTGACCTAAACACGCGCAAAACGACGCTCAAAAAGCTTAAAAAAAATAGAAAATGACAGTAAGACAAGCAAACTAGAAATTTTTTTACGAGGCTGGTCGAATCAATGTTTTTTATTTAGTAGTATATTAAGATAAAAACGAACGAACGAATGATAAAGAGATTAATGGATAAACTGACAGACAGAAAAGCTAATTGACCAAGAGAAAGCGTGAAAATCTACAAACTGGCATCCAAAAGCGTCAAAAATGGGAAACTGACTGACAAACATCCCGAAAATCGACAAACTGATAGCCAGACAGTCGATTTGTCACCAAAAATCAATCGATAATCTTCTGGTTGCCGTGTGGGCCATGGTAAAGGGGGCAGGGAGGGGGACGCGGACCCGGGGACCGGATGCGGAGAGACTCGAAGCCCCCCTCTACGCACACTCTTCTCTCTCTCTCTCTCTCTCTCTCTCTCTCTCTCACGTTCTCTCGTCTAGTGGCCTCTAAGCTGGGGCTGGGTGCGAGCGGAAGATGCCGACTGACTGACGATGATCGAGGCCTTAGAGAAGGGGGAGGGAAAGAATGTGCAACACCCACACACTACGCATACATACTATCCACACAATGAGGCACAGAAAAAAAGCGGATAAGAAGGATAATTACGGAACACTACGCTTCTGGAACGTTTTGTTTCGAAAATCGGGAATCTTGTGGTTTCCGTTTTCGTACGGCCGCGACACGCAACGTATACGCCGCTCGTTTGCTCGGAAAAGACGTAATCGATTACGCAATGGAATGGCTTACCGTGCGCATGGCACGATGCAAAAACATACAAAACGGTTGCGGAAAAATTCTTTATCATCCCGTATGTTTCCTTAAATGGCACTTACTGGACATTCTGGAAAAAAATCGCCGAATAGCTAAAATGGGAATTTTCAACACTAGGCAACGCCACGCAATTACGATCGCTTTCTTCGATAACGTAGCGGCGCGTAAAATCTCTATAAAATCCTAAACAATATCATAAAAATTAAATCACTAAAAAAATCAAAAATTACGTAGAACTACGCAACCGGAATCGTGCTAAAAATCGGGGTTACGTTCAGTTCAGCGTGATCACGTAGTGTCAATGATTAATGCGCCGTTTGACTCACAGGTCTTAAAAAAATGCCTGGCGAAAGATCAAACACCCGAAATCTGCGTATTTTCCGCGAAAGCTACGGTAGTAGCGCGCCAATGGTACTACGGCGCACCCTGGACTATAACGTACTTGCCAAGATACAGTAACTACCACCTGAGAAAACCGATCGAGAATGCTGTAAAAAGCACTACGATGCACTATGGGTGCACAATGCGACACCAGTGCGCAACACTACGCAACACTACGCAATCACAACGTCACGAAAATCAAGGTTTTTGCAGTGAAAATCGGAGTTTTGTGAAGTGAAGCAAGACGAGTCGCTTATTCGTCAATTCCTGGAGAAAATGCGAGAAAAACGACGTAGAGAGAGTTTTTTAGTCAAAAGCATAAAAAGTTTTTCCGTAATACAACGCTGAGTACGGTGGGTCGTAAAATCGGAAAGGAATGTATTTTTGGAGGTGCAGCACTCGAAAGTACCCTAACTCCGAAAATGTCTCAAAAAATGACGAAAATGGCAACATTTCCGTTGTAGTTCAAGCTACGGTAGTGCAGCGGGACGGTGAGTACCGTACTCACTAAGCCACAGTACGTTACAGCACACTAGCCAGAAAAAATATACGATAAATAAAGCATGTTCTAGACAGTAGTACGGCAGCGGATCGTACTGGAAATGGTGTCCCGCTGAATGGAATATTGAGGAGGAGGCATGGTCACTGTTTGTATAGGTTGGTGGGAGAGAGAGAGACAGAGAGAGAGAGAGAGGGCCCTCGACAGGTCCTAATTCCAACCAATCCCCCTTTCCTTCCTTCCCCCTGCTAGAGCACCCTTTAGCACATGAACAGTCCCCCTCTTCGGGCTGTTGGCCATGGGTTAAGCCCCTCACCCCCCGCTTGAGACGCTAAAAAGTGGACGGTCTTCAAGGGGTATTAAGCTGCGTTAAGTCTTACCTAACAATAAGCTGGGATGAAGCTTAAAGTATATATGGGTCGGGGCCTGGGGGCGCCGCAAAAGGCTCCTCTCGGGGAGCCCTTTGGGGGCGTGCCGGGAGGCGCCTATGGCGGCGCCAGAGGCTGACGCGGAGGAGCCGGGAAACCCAGATGCAAAGCAAAACATGCAGATATGTTATGGAAAAGTAAATTGAATGATAGATTTGACAATGAAGAACAAAAGAAAACCGTGATTGACCGTTTCTGAAGGCAACAGTGATTGCTCGGATTCCGATGCTACGATTACCCACGGCCGTTTAGAGCGTGCACGAGCTTTAAAAGCCATAGAAACCGCTTCCAACACTTCATTCTATAAAAGTTTTTTTACGAAATTGTGGGGAATTTTTTGCTTTATCGAACTAAAGCGGCGATTTTCGAAATATGACCCAGGGGAAAAGTTATCAGCAAAAAAGGAGAAAATCCTGAACATTTTCTATGGCTGGTTTTTTAACGCTATAGAAAACTCTGTCAGCCCCTCTCGTGCGCGCCTTCCCATAGATCTGAACGGCCGTGTACCGACACGGAAATGGAGACCGACTTCTATTAAATATACTTTTTCGTCTTTTTATGGTGCTTTGTTTGGGCACAGGTTGAATAAATAACATTAGAATCGAAGCTTAGCATAACTCCACATGCCCCGCGGGTGGGGCCGGCGCCCCGGCAAAAATCATAGCGGCGGCGCCCCCAGGCGCCACCCGGCACGCCCCCAAAGGGCTCCCCGAGAGGAGCCTTTTGCGGCGCCCCCAGGCCCCGACCCATATATAGCTTAAAGGTACTTGGAAGGCAAAGCTGGGGATTTTCTTCTAAATTTTTGGTCCAAAAATCGCGAAAATTTGTAGAGATTTTTTGTACGGTTTACTAGTAGATTTTTTGTAGATTGTGTCGCACCGCGGCACACAACGCTGAGCTCGTATTATTATTGCTCAATTGATTACATAACATTTCAGGGGCCCATTGACCTGGGGATTGAAAACGCGCAGGAAATCCTTAGTCTGTGAGAATCCTACAGGTCTCACTGCCTTGCCAGCCCCTTAAATGGCTGCAAAAAGTTCGGCCGACACCGTAAAAGTTAACCACCTTCAGATTCCAGAAAAACCTTAAAATTTTAGAAAAATCCAAGAAGTCGAGCTACGAGCTTGTAAAATAAACTTTGACCCAGCCACCCAACTCGATGCTTACCCACTCGAGGCACCGAAATGGCTTGAGTGCGGCTTCACGACTATATAGGGAGAGAGAGACAGCGAGAGAGAGACAGAGAGAGTGAGAGAGAGAGAGAGAGAGAGAGAGAGAGAGAACGAAGCGAAAAAATCTTGCAAGTATTCTTTGGTTTAGTCAAAACCCCGAAAATCTGAGGTTTTTGAAAAGTAAAAGAGAATCTAGCAAAAAAAAACAATTTTGAACGGTGGTTTAATGGTACAATAACAATTAGAAAACCGGAATAAGAGCGGGAGAACTAAAAAGGAAATGGCATTCATTAGCATCTTAAAAATCTAGATTTTCTACAGTAACCTCGTAGAAAAACAATTCTTATAGAAAAGTAACGTATAAGATGCCTTTAAAGGCATAAAATAAGAGTACAAAGTCCAAAAGATCAATTAAATCAGAAGCCGATTCTTTGATGTTTGTCGATTGGGGTATAGTAATGAATGGTAGAAGGGGGATGTGGGCCATGGTCCCCATCCCAGCAGTGTGTGTGTGTGTGTGCCTTGTCGTGGCCCCTCTCTTTCCCTCTCTATCTTCTACAATTCCGGTTATTGTTTGTCTCTGTGGAGGGATGTGACGTGGTGGACGACATTCAGAAGGCACCACACGGAGAGACTGCCTCTACAAATGCCACCCCGAGAAGTAGACAATTCACACAATCCGGAGAGTGTTCGGAAAAAAATGATAAAAAAATCAAGGGGGCACAAAAAATGTGCAATAATAGATACCTAGGATCTTTCCGGTTATAGGGGGATCGCTTTTTTCCGGTAATTCCGTGCGGGCCTATGGCACATTATCAATAATTTTTATAGGAGTTCACACTGTTTTTTAACCGAGAAAAGCATAAAAAAATTTAAATATTTGAGTTTTCTGAAAAATATATGAAAAATGACCACAAAAAGACGAATTTTTAAAAACTTTACATTTTTTGCATTTTTTATGACTTTCTAGCAATAAAGAATAAAAAAAAACCATGAAAATACGCAATTTAGGACTAAAGTATGGCTAAGTAAGGCATAGATGGTAAAATAAAAATTTGCTGCCCATTCGTTGAACGGAAGGAAGGAAAAACTGCGATTGAGCGATGAGAACAAACAGGTGTTTGGCTTTGGTATGGGGTTTTCTGTGCTTTTAAAAATATTTTGCATTTCCCCTTGATCCGCTCTAATTTTAGTCGACGACCCCGGAAAAATTTTTTGCTCATTTTTTTTGCGAAACCCTGTTTATCACGATTGTTCCTCGGCCCCGAAGTATCGTTTTTTTGCTGTTGAGATAAAATGGATCGATCTGCCGGGTCGAGGCGTCGATTTTGTTGCACAAGAAATTGGTGTCTCTGTAAAGGGAGAGGACCGGCGAGAAGGGGAAAATGGCAGAGCCTGACCCTAACACCGCTTAGCTTTTCATTATTTAAAACTATAAAAAACACTTATTACAAGTTTCCGTTACTTTAAAAAAAGCTTAGAAGCTGGTTTGAAATTTTTTTCTCTGGTTTTAGAAAAGACGCACTGGACGCAACTATAGCAACCAATTTTACCTTATTTTATACATTTTTAGATAGTTTCTTTGTTTGTAGTTAGTTTATTATGATAACGTTTCTAAATTTTATCTTTTATGAATTATCAATAGCTGGCTTACTTTTCCAACTCCGATTTTCGGAATTTCCGATTTTTATTCCAGCAATGTTTTCCGAAATTTTGAATGTCTTGCAAAAACCCTCTTTCAGATCATAACCCGATTTCTAATATCTATCTTCGCCATTTTGTTCTGCAAGAAATCGGGCATTCATAAAAGACCAGAGGAGCTGATTAGGGTATTCGCTCGTTCGCTTCCCTCTACGGCACCACTCTCAACCCTCAATTTTTGTCGCAACACAAACTATGGTAGGTTTAGTAGTATCGTATAAGATTACCTTAAAAACATTAAAAAAGCTGCAAGGTCGTCAAGTAATGCCCTTTAAATACTAGAAAAATACAAAAAAAACAAAAATAATTTTTTTAGGTGACCGAAATGCTGCGAACACTTTTCTCGGTATGTGATGGCCAGCTAAAACTGGATCCGAATACCTTACGGTATTTACAGCAGCAGATTGTCCATAGAAAAGTAAGTTTCATCAATTTTGATAGTATCTATACTTCTTCAGGTGGCCATCGTTGCCGTTGCCGGGAAATTCCGGCAAGGGAAAACGTTTTTCGAGAATATCCTCCTCAAATCCCTTCGACAATTATCGAATGGAATTCATGAATGGGAATACCATCCGCAGGAGATTATTGGGTAATTTTGATACCTATTAAAGCACTTAAAGCGTGCATTACTTCTCGCTGGAAGCCATAAAACTAAAGAAAATTCCAATTTTCCAGCGGCCCGGATCAGATCCACTTTCAAAATGGCACTATCGGCCATACAAAAGGCATTATGGTATGGCCGGAAGTGTTTTTGAGGCGGGAACAAAATGGACAGGAGGTAGTTTCATAATTATACTAATTATGAAAACTATTAAAATTCAAAGTTGCATATTTTTCACGTTTCCAGACAGCAATTCTTCTCCTCGATACCCAGGGTACTTTTGATACGGGACGCGACACCAGCGAGTCTGTCCTCGTCTTTTCGGCGGCTACACTCTTGGCTTCACATTTGGTAAGCCAGAAAATATATAAATACATGTCGTAATTGATCAATTTTAGGTGTTCAACACAAAGTCGCAGCTGGACTCATCCGATTTCGATGCGTTAAACGTTTTTCTAGAATTTTCCCGCCATGAAAATGGGCAAATCGGGGAAAAGATTGGGCAGGTAAGGGCTTTAGCTTTAACTTTTGCGTTGAAAAACCTGTAATAAACGTTTAAAAATAATTTGTAATAAAAAAAGCTGTTTAGCAAATATGTATAGCCTAAAAAAACTTTTTTCAGAATCTAACCATCCTGATTCGCGACGCGAATGAAAGTCATGGATACGAGGAGGGGAGATTTTACCTGAACAATCTGAGGGTAAAAGAGGCATCTCAAGGGTTATAAATCGATATTAACTCTAGAAAGACGCCCAAAGATCCCAACAAATGACCCAACTAATCGACGGAATCTTCGATGGATTCGCGAATGTTTTTTGCTCCAGGGTTCCCACACCTGCCGCCAGACTTCAGGGTGCAAAGAAGCAAATCGAGGCTGCACGTGAGTGACTATCAACTATGGCATTCAAAAATACATTTAGACTGCGGCCAATTCTTCCTGGAAACATTGAAATGTTGTGGACAAACGGTTGCACGAGATACGACGGTGAAAAGGGTTTTGGCCGGGGAATTGGATGGAGAAGCGTTTGGAGACTATTGCCGGGTAAAAAATTAAGGACAAAATTAGGAAACTACACTTGAAATTCGTTCAAAATTAAAGATATATAGAAAAATAGGATACGGCGTGAAGGTAAATGCTGATACATTTTTTTGATGAATCACCCAAGATTTAGCAAATCGAAAGATACCTCAACCTCCACTCAATCGATCATGGACTCGGATCGGCGCATCAGGTATCAAAAATGCTGCCAGAGCCGTATAAAAGTTATTTTTCAGTCAATGGTCGCCTTGTCCCACGAAAAAGCGAAGAGTGAAGCCGAGAAATTATTCCAGGAATCGCTGCGAAACGTAATTTTTTATAGTTTTATTACCACTTTATTTTCTTTATGAACTTCAATATCTACAGGCTTTTATCAGATAAAATCCACGATTTTTGATTTAGGAAGAAGCCCAGCTCCTCCACCAACCGATGGATCCGATAAAACACGAGGAAAAGATGCAGCAAATCCTGAAGACGGCTATTGAGGTTTTTCTGGTTTTTCGAAACCCTTAAAATCGATATTTTAGTGCCTCGAATCTCGCCTCAGATTTGGGAAAACGGAGGAAAAAGAGAAGATCAAGGCCGAGATCATTGGAAGATTCCAGGTAAACAATGTTTCTACATTTTTTTAAATGCTCGAAATTTTCAGGAAACCGTTGGCCGGGTGATCGACACGAATAAAAAGCTGTTGATCAAGAAATTAGCCTCCAAGACCTTTGAGCTGGCCGTTAAAACCTATGAGACTGAATTAAGGGTAAGAAAACACAAAAAAAAAAATCGGAATTTCTCCGATTTCCAGAACCGTCGTTTCTTGAGTGATGCCAATTCCAATCCACGGCAAATCCATGAAGAATGCCAGAGGATTGCCGTGGAATTCTACACAAAGGGTGGGGAAAATTCATATTTTTGGATTTTGTAATTTTTAGAAACATTCACACATGCAGCGGAAGAGTTAATCCAGAAGAAGCTGGAGCAGCTGGTTGCGAAGTGCGAAGTTTGTAGCTTCCTGGGATTTAGTTATTGATTTGTGCCTCTAGGAAGCCCTGGGAAATATCCTTGTCGACCATGTGGAGCGCCATCTCAACAATCGGGTCTTGAGAATCGTCGCCGAAGTTGTGAAACACCATGAAAAGAACCTGAAAGAGGTTGGAAAAATTGTTTTCTAAGTTTCCCTTTTCTAGGCCTTTTCAAAAGTTCGTTCTCGAGAAGAAGCTCAAAAAATCCTTCCTGAGCTTCAAATCCAGGCAATTCACGAGAAAAGGGATGTGCTGATCAATCAAGAAGTGGAAATCCTGAATCGAGAATGCGAGGGGAAATTTGAACCCGGAATGTTGCGAACTCGCCTCTTGAATCTTTTTGAGAAGGATGTTCAGACGCCACTACAGGTTTTTTCAGGGAAATTATGCGAAAATGGAGTTTAGAAAACGGCCGAAATTGAGTTGATGGCCTTGGAAAACCGATTGGCGACCGCGAAAATTACCGCGGAACTAGAGAGAACGCTTCGAATGCATGTAAGTAGTCTTTATTAATCGTGATTAAAGCTATCAATAAAAAAAGATAAACGATATGGACATCATGTATTGCTCTGTTTCAGGAAGAAGCCGTGGAGAAGCATCGCGTTGAGCAGAAACGGATGGCTGAATTGAAAGAAATTGCGGAGAATAAGGGCAACAGTGAGAACGATCGACAAATGATGCAGGCCTACATACAGATGATGTATGGTGGTTTCGGTCTTCAATATTGGGGGGCGGGGCTTAATTAGACTCGGATTCGGAATCAGCAAAAAATTCTGCGCAAGATACGTCACCTTGCCCTTTGGCCCTTATCCGTCTTGAGGACCGGAAACCGACCCCGAGACCTTGGTTTCTAAAATCAGAAGCTTTTCAGATCCGAACAACAGGCCCATCAAATAGAAGACGCAGCACGCCAAGATGCCAATCAAGTGGCAATCCGAAAGATCGAACACGATATGCAACAGAAAGCGGCTGAACGACAGATGCTGATGGACGAGCAACGGCATAGGTATTCCTGAAATAATGGAAACGAAGTAATGATGAGATTCATGCAATTATGAAAGCCAAGACGACCAAAGAATACTCGCCCTTTGGGAAGGGACTTCGGGCTACCCCCTGTGCGCTCCTTCCCCCTTTGCCGAAACGCGCGCCACCTGGCTCACTATATCCAAAATCGAGCAAACATCCGTTCCCCAATCGTTTTACTAAGGCGCCACTCGCAAAGTTGAGTTTAATAATTTTGAACGAAAACTTTTTCATAATTTTTTACCATTGTGGGGTTTCTGAGCACACTCTATCCGAATCCGAAGAGACCTAACCTCCAGCTCCTTTCCCCTGGAGTTGAATTCGGCACACGGACGGACGGACGGGCATCACAGCAAAATGTTTATAGTAGATTTCGACCAAATGCCAGACGCCGCTTTCGCCCCAGAGCCTGCAGTTTTTCGGATTTTGCGAATAGCGGGTTTCCCGAAGTTTCTTTTTGAAAACATATCCCCCGAATACGATCTTTAGGAAAGAAATGGAGAACACCCAGGCGCAACGCCAATACGAATTCCAACGCGAACAAATGGAACATCAACGCCAGCGCACAGCTTTCGAATATCAGCAACGAATGCATGATGCAGCCCTGCAAAGGGCAGCCGCATTGCGGGAACAAGAAGATGACGTGGATTTTGGTGCCGTCCTTGGCCAGGTATCAAATTCTACATTATCTACATCAACCTATGGTTTTTTAGGTTGCAACCATTGCCATTCCGCTGGCCATTCAATACTTCACCAAATTACCGCTGCCATAAGTCCCCAAAAATTGCCTTACAACATGTAAATAGCTGCCAGTTTACCGATTTGCTCAATTGACCACTTCGTTTTCAGTTTTTATTATTTTTTCGTTTCAGTCTCTAATTTTCGTATTTATTTTCTCGAGATATCGATCGTTGTCTGGCTGTCGATTTTGCTGCACAAGAAATTAGCATTACGGCGCGGCATCTTGAACCTTCGAAAAGATGGATATTGCTATGCACTAAAGAACATTCTAGATTTTTTACGTATTAAAAAATACAGGAAAAGATACAAACTAATTCATACAAACGAAGGTTATAAAAATTGTATGAATTTCAAAACGTTTCAAATTTAAACGTACGTTTCAAAACCATGTTTTTATTTAAACACCAAGGCATCTAAAAACATTAAGGAACGGCCTCTGCATCTAATTAACGGCCACTTCCGGTCATTTTGCAAAGAATTAGCCTGGATGCAACCCCGAAAAACCTCAAGATTTTACAAAATGGCTTGTAAAATATCGGGTTTAAATAACAACATGGTTTTGCAGTAAACTCGCCGTTTCAAGGGCTTTCGAATGGGATAACCACCATTCCGATCCGATACTTATGCATCGAGTTAGAGGGGTGATGTTTTTATTGGAACACCCCGCATTTTGTGGTGATTTTACCGTGGTCCTTGGCTTGTACATGAATTGTCTTGGAAAACAGAATCAAATTCTCGGCTAATTTTGAAGGATTTGCCCCAATTCTTCTGCAAGAAATGGTCGCAGGATCAGGGGGGGACCGATATTTCTTCCGCATCGATTTCTTTATGTAATTATTTTTATTTAATGGTATAAAATTCACTTTTTAGTATGCAAATTATAAATATTTTCACCGTTGCCCACTGAAAAATTGGCTCCAAAACCTTGTTTATCCCATTTTTGGGGGGCTGCAGCTGGGTTCGACTCTTCCCGCCGGCTGACCCGTTATCAGTATCGTATCGTAGTTTGGTAATCCCTATTTCTGGGATTCGATCCGAGAGGGGGCTACGGGGGCATACTATAGACTACACCACACAACGGCTATCGTATCAAGTGGGAGCGAAAAGGGATCGGCTCGACATTGCTAGAAAAGTTCGGATTTGGCGATGACGAAGGGACAGGGGTAAGTCTTGGGCTTTTTATTTAAATTGTTGAAGCAGATAGCTGATGTTTTATTTCATCTCAAGCTTAAAAACTACATAAAATTACGTTCAGTTTCAAACAAAAATCGGTAAAAATCGTATAAAATGTCGGAAAAAGTTGTTTCAATTCTTTATATTTTTCTGCATCTGCTATGCTTTTCAAAAACCCAATTTTTATGGCAAATTAACCCGTAAAACTTCAATAAAATTTCTAGCAAATTCCACGGTCGCACCGTCGTGATCAGCGGCGCTTCGCGAGGTATCGGCAAGGCGATCGCCCTGCGGTTGGCCAAGGATGGCGCCAATATTGTTGTAGGTTATTTATAGAGTTGTACCACGGGCTGTAGCGTTAATCTAGCATTTTAATCTATATTTTTATACCTTAAAAATCTCTCTAGATCGCCGCCAAGACCGCAGAGCCGCACCCAAAACTGAGGGGCACGATTTACACGGCTGCCAAGGAGATAGAAGAGGTATAGAATTTTCTAGTTTGAAGTTTTTTGGCAGTAGTTTGTAGTCTAGCCCACTAAAAGGTCAAAAAATATTTAAGTTATGTTTTTAGGCCGGTGGTCACGCACTCGCTTGTATCGTTGATGTCAGAAGCGAAGAGTCGGTTCGGGAATGCGTCAGAAAAACCGTAAGTCGTTATTACTATTTATACTTAATAATTCATACTATTTAGATGATTTTCACACATAAAATAGGCATAGATTGAGTCAATTTTAGGTCGAACGCTTCGGTGGGATCGATATCCTGATCAACAACGCATCGGCCATCTCCCCGACAGCCACTGCCGATACGGATCTGAAGCGATATGACCTCATGCACAATATAAACACCAGGGGAACGTTTTTGATGTAAGGAGGTGTATTTTGTAACCTATGTACTTCTTAAATTTAGGACAAAGGAATGCCTACCGTACCTGAAGAAGGGCAAAAACCCGCACGTCCTCAACATCTCCCCGCCACTGGAGATGAAGGCCAAGTGGTTCCAGGTCAATTTAAAGCTATTTTTTGAAGGTAAACTGACGGAGTTTCTTGGGGAAGCGTGTGGCTCTTGAAAAAAATTTGTGTCGAATTATCATCCAATTTTCAGGCCCACGTTGGCTACACGATGGCCAAATACGGGATGTCAATGTGCGTACTCGGGCACGCTGAAGAATTCCGCCCCGATGGCATTGCTGTCAATGCACTGTGGCCATTGACTGGTAATTCTCATTTTTTTATTTTTTTTTACCTTGTATCCTGCCTTCATTTCCTATTAAAACGGATTATTTAGGTATTTACACAGCCGCCATGGAGATGTTGGCGGGTGGTGAAGATGCGAAGGCCGGGTGCAGGGATCCGGCTATTATGGCTGGTACGTTTTGGGTATTACTCGTTTTATTTTTCATTGGTCTTTTAATTTTACAATTCTTTAAGTTTATTTGGGTTCTACAAAGTTTTTTACCCGCAAAAGGCCCTTTAAAATGCGAAATTCTGCCATAAAATTCGATTCCGCCATGAAAATGGTTTGCAACGCTTTGGGCTGAAAAACTTTTGAAAGTTAATTTCGCCTAATTTTTCAACTATATTTGACAAAATTATATCATTTGATTTTTTCAGACGCAGCCTACAAGATTCTCTCAAAAGGTCCGGGCTTCACCGGCAATTTCCTGGTAGATGAAGATTTCCTGCGGGCCGAAGGCGAGACCGATTTCGAGCAGTATGCCTGTGTACCTGGTGCGTTTTCTATTTTTATTTTAACCACCATTTTCTCAGGAACCCAATTGATCACCGACTTCTTTCTCCCCGAGGATTCTCTTCAACGACTCAATCAATATAATGAGGGAATTGCTGCACGCAGCAAACTATAAGGAAGCTAAGCTCTCCAGAATTCAACGGATGAAGTTTTATTGATAAATAAATAACGAAAATTGCCACGCATCTGGCACTTAAGTTTTCCGAGCTTCGTTCTTTGGACGATTTGCTATCAGAATCTCGAAAATCAGAATATCGAAAATCAGAATATCGAAAATCAGAATCTCGAAAATCGGAATCTCGAAAATTTCTACTTCTTGCCTATCAAAAAAAGTTAGGAAGCCGCCGGACAACTCCTATCTGCCTAAAAACAGTGGATTTTGGACTGCATTTTCGAGATTTCGATTTTCGAGAATCCGATTTTCGCGATTCTGATTTTCGAGATTCTGATTTTCGAGATTCTGGTTTTCGAGATTCCGATTTTTGAGATTTTGATTTTCGAGATTCTGATAGTTTCCCTCTTTGAACACGCTCTAATCGCGACTACGAAACACCAATACGCAACAAAAAATTTATGCTATTACCCAGCCGCTTCCAGCGGCTTCGCCGCTGCAAGCGGCTGGACTTCGGGCTACCCCCTGCACTCCCTCCCCCTCGTCGAAACGCGCGCGGCCTGGCTCACTATGTCCAAAATTACCCCCAACCTCCGTCCCCCACCCCTTTTACTAAGGAAAAAACTTTCAAAGTTAATTTTAATATTTTAAATAAAAACTTTTTCATAATTTTTTTATCAGTTTTGGGGTTTCTGACGGCGCTCTATCCGAATCCGAAGAGACCTAAGCTCTAGCTCCTTTCCCCTTCGAGTTGAATCTGGGACATGACGCACAGACAGACACCACAACAAAAATTATTATAGTAGATTTCGAACTGGGCATACGCGAAATTTGAAAGTTTGGTTAGGTCCGCCACTTTGCGCGGAATGCTTTGAAAGGGTGCGTTTTTCTACCCAGACAATCTGATACATCTTCACAAGATTTTCGGAAAAATGGGAATCCGCTCTTTTAAAACTGGTTCCATACAAACGCTTCGCCTTTTTAAATACGGAAAATAACATAAAAACTCACACGCTATTCATGAAGACTGATCAATATTGAATGGTAAGGAAAACCTCGGAAACACGGCGTGGTCGAAATCGTTCCTTCCAATTCAGGTGCCCTAAAACGAAATCTTCAAGCAGGTCTTGGTTAAAATCACTTGAGCCGTTCCCACAATTGAGAGACCGCTTCTGGAAGCTCTACCATAAAATCCATATTCATAAAATATTGAGAGGCTAGGAGTGTGTGTAAGCCGATCTCTCATATTAGGACTCACTGAGTAGATTTGTTTGTATTTCATCCGACAATTCAATAAGAATTGGTAGTATATCGACCAGCCGCAATGGAACGAATCGCAGAACGTCGTATATGTCGTGGCTTTCCACGAGTTTCATCTCTTTATCGATGTACTTTCCGTCATACAAACCCGGGAGAATTTGGAAAAGCAATGCTTCATATTCATACGAGAGCTCGAACATTGCGAAAAAGAACACCGATCGTCTTTCTTTCACTTTGATTTCATCTATCAAGTTAACGAGGAGGTCATTGAAGTAAGGGTCGAAAACTTTCCGGTTTGTAATATATCGTAGAGCGGTTAGCATCAAGGTATATTCCTCAATATAATCAATTTGTTCGGGTGTCGAGCATTTATGATAGGGAACACGGCATTTTTCATCAGCCCATCGTGGGAACCCGCCGGCAATCGCGCATTCTCCTTCAGGACATTGATGTGCTGGAGGATGCCCATCGATGAAAATATACCCCGGGAATGGCTGATCAGGAACTGATTCTAGTTCTGTCAACAGATATTGATATTTCCATTGGGATACTCGACCGTTGTCTAAATATTTGAGCGACGACCGGAGGTCGCAGTGAGTGTTGACGGATTTCCAGACAGATGACGTGCGTTGATTTTGGATTTTCCGCTTGTAATGCGTCCTTGCCTCAACTAATGCCCTCCTTAGCTGTTCATTATTCAATGGTTCCCGCTCCTTAACCATATAATTGCGTACTTCTTTTGAATCAAGTTTCTCGGATCTGGTTTCTGTGCAGTCTGCCCGCAGAAATAATCTCGCCAGCGGAAGATGGTACCATGAATATCGGGAATTCTCGATGTTTAGAAGTTTATACAGGGCTCTCATAGTAAATAATTTTCCCAATTCCTCAATGTTTTTAATGCTCTGGTCGAGTAACAACAAGGAATCCCACTCGGGAAGTATTTCGCGATCTATTTGTTGCAGTGCCTTGGCCGCAATGAGATGGTGATAATCTTGCACGCAAGCATCAAGCCGGAGTAGGCTTTCAAACCGCGACAGTATAGCTCCTATTCTGTCTTGCTTTTCTGTGCTAAACCTTTCGCACTTCTCGGTAAACTTGTCGGGAATTGTGTATTGGATATTTTCGAACAATTGCGGAGCATCGATATTCCAATATTTTTCCATCTCTTCAGCACATTTGTATTGCTCCTCAGTTGAGAGCCTTGATATCTGCTTGAGAATGGGCCCGCATAAACGTCTTCTCATTTCGTTAAAATCTTTAGGTTTCTCGGCTTTTCCATTGAACAGCTTATCCAAAGGCTTCATCGATACTGAAAGTCTGCATTCGTATGAATCCAGATATTCTTCAATTACATCAGTTCGAGTACCTTGGAATGCCGTAACAAGCCCCAACCTTTCTTGGAGTTCGATTAGCAGTCTTTTCCGCGGATCGACCTTTTCTTTCTGCTGTAGCAGTTCCGAATCCAATTCATTATTATCTATCATAGATGAGCAAATCGGTGGCGGTAAGATTTCGTCGTACTGTGAAAAACCCTCCTCGCCAACCCCTAATAATCCCATCGGGGGCTCTAGTCTCTTGCGGTCGGGGCGCGGATCTGGCTTAGCGTGAGACTTTTCGAACTCCTAGAATCAGATCAAGGTATAAATTTTGTTTTCCGTCCTACCTTTACCATTACTTCGCATAGCCTCAACGCGTCTTCCACACCAAGTCGTTCCGAGACGAATTTTATTGTACATCTAATCGGAAGTAGATGCATACTATTGCCAACTCACCCGGCCACAAGTTTTTTCATGGTATTTAAATGCAGTCTATCCTGAAATACGGCCTCCATGGCTCGGCTACCAGGACTAAAATTGATTAAAGGGTGATATTTTTTTCCCTCGTTCTTACTTTCTAGTCACCATATCCAACACAACCCATCCAGCTCCATATATATCACATTTATAGACATCCTAAATATTTATGACTTTGCTATCATGAATGCTTTCTACTCACATCCACACTCAGTGTGAGACCGTGCTCGACTTCCGGTGCCATATAGCGCGGGGTACCACCTTGCGGTTTTGCATTGGATTTCAGATCACGCACAATTCCAAAATCACCCAATTTCACGATGTAATCATGACCATACACGAATAAACTATGAACAGAGATAAATTCCCACTGCTGCCTCACTTATCCGGCTTGACATCATGGTGAACAATCTTTTTGCTTTTGATATATTCGAGGGCGCTAAACATTTCTGTCGACCATTTGGCAATTGTTGCCATTGAATACGCGACCGTTACATCCGTAATAACTAAAAATACCCATGCAATAGATCGAAAACAGTACCATGTCGCAATGAAAGATGTTCACAGTATTCCATAAAAAGCAACAATTCGTTTGAATTGATTCCAGGATAATTGAAGGGAGGATCATAATATCTAACCACGTTTTCATGTGAAAGTTCCTAAGCGCTGTAAGTCCACATTTATACTAAAGAAAATCACCTTCAAAACTCGTAGCTCCCTTAAATAGCTGGCGTAATTGTTTGTGTGAAATACCTTCTTCATCACCATTTGTCTGTCATTTATATTTCTTTGTTATGAACAAAAACATACGGTTCGGTATCGGGTAGATGCCATACTTCTCCTTGTCCACCCTTTCCAAGCGGTCTCATCGCCATCTTCCAGAACAAAAATGATTGGAGGATCTGCAAAACAAACGTTAGCATCATCAGTAATACACGTTGCTTCTCATAACAAATACAAAATGAGGCTACAATGGCGGAGAAGCGTTGCACAAGTGGTTTCTCGCTATTGATTCATCGCACCTGAAAAGAGGGAGCTGAACATTGGAGGGTGAAAGAGGGGGTGGGGGGAGTTGAGAGAGCGCTAGAAAGTGAGGACACCAGAAACAATTCACGTCTCCGCGATCCGCCCACCCTTGATAAGCTTAGAAGGCCGAGCCCCTAAAAGGGTAGCCTCCAAATCTTTTCTTGCACATAGATCCACCGCGAAACCTCTTGTCCAAGGGTTCCCCACTTAAAGAGGCTGTAAAGGCCCGTGTCGACGGTGTTTGGACGAGGACTTGTCGTAAGATTTCGTTTAGTGCGCCTCAAGTTTTGATGCCCTCACACAGCGGCCCGGCTCCTAATAACACATCCGGTAGCTTTGGAAATCAGGGAAGACCGCAACGCGTGCGATAGACGCGTCGCGCAATTGCGAAAGCAGGCCTGCGCAGCTAAAAACGGTTGTTATTCCGCGCGCCCGCACGTAACGCGCGAAAAACACGTACAGTACGCCCTTTCTTTCCCTTGAACAATCTGGAACGAACCCATGGGCTGTTGTGCTCGAGGCAAAAACAGCCCATGTGTGGCTTTTGAAGCACGGCCTTCGTTGCACTAACTACGCAACACAACTATACTAGTGCGGTGCTGTATTGTGCACCGGGGCGTCAAAATCGAGAAGCACGAAACGAAGCGATCCAAAGCCCTCCCACAAACCGTGTCGTGTTTATAGGCCAATGGTAGTGAAGAAATGCCGATGATTAACCGATGATTATAAGGGTGATCTGAAGGAACTACGCACGCTGAAGATAGCTTAACGGAAAATAAACAAAATTCTCGTTTAGGAATTGTCGCATGAGAACGTAGTCAGATATTATGATCGGCCAGTCTGCTATCCGGACCGGGATGAGTTGCTGCTAGAGTGCGGCTTATTCAAACCGGTTTGATTTGAATAACGGAAATCTTATTCAAACCAAACCCGTTTTGAATAAGCATTCCCAACTCAAACCAAACCAAACCGGTTTGAATAATTTGAACCAGGTTTGAATAAGAACCATTCTCCGAAACAGTCTGTTTTCTGCACTATTTTCGGGGTTAGCGGGCGTAGCCCGCTAACCCCTTTTGGTTTGAGGTACCCCCCCATACTACTCTTTTGGGGTCCTTTTCCTGATTTAAAAGAGAACCAAGCATCGGATCGCAAAACTGAATACACCATCGGAACCGGCGACACTTTTTGCATACTATAAGCTTTTAAAAATTGAAAAAGAGTGAAATTTCGAATTTTAACAGCCGATTTAAATTGCGTTTCGAGGGGGGGGTCTGCGTTTGTATGTGTGTATGTACGCAAAACCTTTGTAGTCGTCAAAAAGTGCCTTCCCATGGTCGGTTTGGGCTGAAATTTTCCACAGATATCGACTTGATGTAAATGAAGGTGAGGAAGAAGCGTTTTTTTGAAAATAGGTTTTTAAAAAATTTATATTTAATTTTTAAGTTTAAAAGCTAAATTGCGGCTAAAATAAGGGTTAGTGATGTCCGTTTGGGCTGATATTTCGCTCAAATATGCATTAGACCATGCCGGATAAAGTAAAGAAGAAATTACATCAAAAGAATGCTTCTCCTTTGAGATATTATAATTTTAAACCTTCGCCATACGGGGCACCACCCTCCCCTTTCGCGCCCCCCAGTCCCCAGTCAGGTGGGGGGTCTAGCTCCCCCAACTCAGGCGCCTAGTCTCCCTGTTGGCCAAGTGGTTAGTACGCTAAACTGGGAAGAATTGGCCCATGGGTTCGAACCCCACCCAAAACATCGCTTTTGCCGATTGGCCCCCGTGCATCCTTATGGTTCTAGTGCCGACACAAAGCGCCGCAGGCAGAATTTTTTCAAGTATTGCGTACCAGGGTTCATCTGAATAAATATCCGATGGTTAATGATCTTAACAACAAGATTGATGCAAAAAGGGCTAAATTCTCTCTAAGGCTAAAAAGAGTCTTTTCAAAAAAGGGCTTTTGGTTTTCGCAAAAAGAGAAATTCTCGTGGCAACAAGCAAACCTTTAAAACTCTGAAAAATGCCACAAAATGTGGGATCAACCAAAAGTTGCTGGCACCTTATGAAAGCGGCAGATCAAATTTTTAGACGTTTCGGCTTGCAAATAATTTCTGTATTATGATCTATTTACACTTTCCTGCAGACCTCCCCTGTAATCTAGGAGGTACCAAGTTTATTAAGATTTTAAACAGCCAGCAACTTTATGTTGTTCCCGCATTTTGTGGTATTTTTCAGAGTTTGAAAGGAATTTAGCACTTTTTGTTGCCACGAGAATTAATCTCTTTTTGCGAAAACCAAAA